AGTTTATTGGTGTGGGTAGAACTAAGGTTGTGTGTGTTAGGGATTGCTATGTCTATCAAATATACTAATTTGTTTTTCTTGTCGTGGAGAGTGATGTCAGGTCGGTTATGGTGTATAGTTTTATCCGTAAGTATGGTTCTATCCCAGTACATTTTATATTCAGGAGAGTCTAGGATAATTTGGGGTGTGTATTTGTAGTACGGTGTTTTTTCAGCGATTAATTTGTGTTTATATGCGAGTGCCTGATGTATGATAGCTGCAACCTGGTCGTGTCGGTGTTTGTAATCTGTTTGTGTGATGGATGAACATGCGCCTGTTATGTGTTGAATGGTTTCGGGTTGTCTGTGGCAGTGCCGACAGTGATCACTGCCAAGGGCACTGTCACGGATTATATATTTTCTGTAATTTTTTGTATCAATGACTTGGTCTTGGATCGCTAACATGAATCCTTCTGTTTCTGGGAACAGTTCGCCTCGCTTTAACCACGCGTTTGACGCTATCTTGTCAACAATAGGATTGGTCAAATCGAGACGATGACGACCATGGAGCGATTTTTGTGTCCAAGTCTGTATCTTTTGTTCTTTACTGATTATGTTCATGTGTTTTGTGTGGTTTGCTAGATAGAGTGGTGTGAATGAGTCTATAAGACATATAGCTTTGTGTAGTGGTGAATGTTGTGAGCGGTTGAAGAAAAATGTTCTAAGTAACTTGATTTGGTTGTTGTGAAGGTTTGTAATGTCGATAAGCCCTCGGCCACCTTCATTTTTTGGTAGGGTTAATCTTTGAATACAAGCCCTAGGGTGATGTTTCCTGTGTTTAGTCATTGTAGTATTTATGATTCTCTGTAATGTTGTGAGATCTGTTTGAGACCAACGTATGATACCAAAAGAGTAGGTTAGGATAGGGATAGCAAACGTGTTTATTGCCTTGATGGTATTTTTTGCATTAAGGTGAGTGTGTAGTACTTTGTGTAGCCTGCTTCTGAAATTTTTCTGTAGTGCTTTTTTTGTGTCTTTGTGGTGGATTTCTTTAGATTGATAGTAGCCGAGGTATTTATACCCTTCGTTTGGGTCTATAGCTTCAATAATTTCTTGGTTTTCTAGTTCATACGTTGAAGGTACTGTTGATCCTTTGATGACAGACTGAATTTTGCACTTGTCTATCCCAAATTCCATGCGAATGTCATTAGAAAATGTTTGTGTGATGTCAGCGAGGGCGTGTATTTCGTTCAGAGTGCTTGCAAATAATTTTATATCATCCATGTACATGAGATGAGTTAGGGTTGTATGTTCTGAGTTGTGTTCGATTTTGAGTCCTATATTATTTTTGTTAAGCATGTTAGATAGTGGGTTAAGGGCCAGGCAAAACCACAAGGGGCTTAATGCATCGCCTTGAAAAATACCTCTTCTTATCGGAATGTGGTCTGTTTCAGTAGATTCGGTTGAATTGCATATTTTTAGTTTAGTGTTCCAAAGGGGCATGATTTTTTCAAGAAATTGTATGATAACCGGATGAATCTTGTAATGTTTTAAGATATAAATTAACCAAGAATGCGGCACGGAGTCAAAGGCTTTTTTGTAGTCTATGTACATGGTGTGTATGTCACGTTTTAGTTTTATTGCTTGTGTAGATGCTACAGCGTCAATGGTTAATTGTTCTTTGCATCCTTGGCTGTTCTTTCGACACCCTTTCTGTTCCTCTGCTAATATATTGTGTTCTTGTGTGTGTTTATATATAGTTTCACTTAAGCATGATGTGATAATTTTATACATAATAATTTTATTATTATTATTATTATTATTATTTACTCTGACAACACTCGTATTTTGAATTAGTTTCCGTATCACTGAGAAATATATGTTTATAGATCGGACTATTACTTATTTGTTGTGAATACTAAGCAGTAGAGGTACCTAACTTTCCTCTTGTGAGATTTTTACTCCTAGGTTCCTTATCTCTGATAGTATAATTTTGTTTAAAGACACCTATTTTCAAACTTCGGGTATTACTTAGTTTAGGTACCTGGAAGGATTCAGACTCCGTCCTGTTAATCATCTGTCTCTTAATGAGCCGGTATACGAGCAGATGGATCGCCTCATTGTTAGCAATCGGCGCCGTCCATGGACACTCGGAACACCAGAGGCGAGTTTTGGGGTTAATAATTTGAATATTGTTGGGAATTCGGAGGTTGGAAAGATTCGAGAGGGGGGTAATTGGACCTCCGGTAACGGATTAACCACAACGCAAGCTTATTTTCACGTTAGTTTTCTCTAAAGCCGTGGTATCACTCCGGTCGAGCCAGCTCATTCATGCCGAAACGGCACACTTAACAAACACTTTTTATAACTGTAGAAGGCCGCGGAAGGCCTAACGAGTTGCCGGGGCTCCGGTTGGAACACCGGGTGTAGGAACGGGGTTAATTATAATCAGTAAGAGTCTGACACTACCTTTCGCCTAACACAAGGCGGGAGAAGTCATTGTATGATGATCCCCTCAAAAGAAAGACTCCCGAATTTACTGTCAAACAGTTAAATCAATTTGCCACTAAGCGCGGCAAAATACATACACACATACAAAAACTGTCACCACAAAATTAATAGAGCATAATCTTGTGATGCAAGCACACACACACACACACACACACACTGCACATAGTAACACACATCATACGTAAGGTAGACGTACAACTCTTCCGCTATCATTACACTACATCGTTTTTAGTATAAATAGGAGCATACATAAGAATATGAGAGTAAAAAACGTAATGATATCGAATCGCGATGCTCCCATAATCACAATACGTCGTTTTGGTATTTTATTGCTGAGATTTAAGTAGTAGAGTATTCTTGTTTAGCGGCTGGGTGAAGCTAACTGTTCAATATGTCAAGTATTTGATTCCCGTGTCGAAAACCATTAATCATCAACATCAGGAGATTAAACAGTTTACTTAGAAGCGGTCATATCAGATGACGTTGTCATCGAATACATTATGATCCGTGAGGAAAAGTATAGTGCATTATTTGGGTATCTAGTAAGATCTGAGACTAAGAAACCATTCAAAGAAGAAATATTTCTTTTTCCAGGTCCCGGCTCCACAAAACCAGCCACAATCCCCAAGAGCCAGCTGAAGTACTTGTCGTTCGTGGTACAGGGTAACGGTAGGAGCAGATACAAATACTCATATTGGAATGCGAAGAATATCGCCAATGATCCACGGATTAATTTTAAAAGGTAAATAACGGATTAATATATGATAAGAGGTCATTTTAAAATGTAGATTCGGATGAATAACGACCACGAACCATACTTGGGTACTTCTTTGTTTAAGTCTGGTGACGGCAGAATAAAATGCATTCGTCCTGCAGGTCTCGTAAGAGCCAAATAAAGGACTTCTTTCCCAGAGATTACACAGGAGCTCTCTGATGGATGTACCTTACCTCCTCACCTGTTAACTTTCGCGGGCTGTTGACGATTATGATGATAATAACTCATCAAAAGGCCCAATTACGACCCCTCCCCTTCTCCAATCCCTGAATGCCCAATAATCCTCAAATTCCTAATCCCAAAAGGCAGGTAGCGCACTTGTAACGCCTCTGGTGTTCCAGGTGTCTATGGGTGACGCCGATTGCTTACCATCAGGTGATCCGTCGGCTCGTTTACCGCCTTATCCCATAAAAAATATCCACCTACTCCATCATGAAATAACCTATTATATATTTTCAGAAAGACGTTGCTAGTGGCTATCGGCTACCTAGACAGTCCCAACCTGCCAATATCTGCTATGTTTGCTAATGAATACGAGGATCGAGGGTACAACGTCATCTTGGTGGATAACCAGAGATTTGCCACTGTGCATTATCATTTGTAAGTATAAATACTTTAAGACCTGTCGTAAAACAATAAAAAGTAATGCTTAATAGCGTTTCTGTCCACGGAGCTGCCGCCGCACCGCCGCGCGCCGTGCTTATACCCTCTGTTGTTGTGGGCGTTATTGGCAAAACACAATGCAATTTTTTCCCAGCTGAAATAGAAGAGATGACAAGAACCATTCCTAAATACGCCTATTCTCTTACTTAGTTCATTTTCATTCTGTCTTTTATTTAATTACAAGAATAACGTCACTATCATTATTTTTACTTCCAGAGCAACCCGCCTCATGCGTCCAGTAGGCAAGCACGTCGCAGAAGTACTAGCCCAACTAACTCAATACGGTCTAGATCCATCTACACTGGAAATCCTGGGTTTTAGTCTAGGCTGCCACACGGCCGGCTTCATAGCAAAACATTTCCATACATTTACAGGACGAAACATATCTTCCATCACAGCTTTAGAACCGTCTGGACCATGTTTTAGGTACCTTGGACCTAAAGATCGCCTGGATGCCTCAGACGCAGATTTTGTCCAGGTCATCCATACAAATATTGATGGTTACGGCATGGCCACTCCCATGGGTCATGTAGATTTCTATGTAAACGGTGGGGAATACCAACCATCAGACATTAGCATCTACCCTTGCACGACCACTTGTAGTCACTTCAGGATCCTCCCAATTTGGATTTCTGCTCTAAAAAACCCTAGAAAATTTATTGGGATGAAGTGCAAAGATATTCAGCAAGCAAGGGATTCCCAGTGCTATGGGAATGTCCCTCAAGAGACTATTGTTATGGGGCTTGGTATTGACAGAAGAAAAAGGGGTATATTTTACTTAGCAACTACAATGGAGTATCCTTTTTATTTAGGAGCGAAAGGGTTGAAAGAAGAGTATGTCTATTGGAAAAGGATGACGAATGTTAACAGTGGGAATGAGACGGAAATATACACGTAAAGAAGATTAGAAGAAGACAAAAATAGCAATTTTATTTGGTACAATTTGTGGAAGAGAAAGGTAGGGAATATTTTTGGTCGCTTTGGTGTTTTGGAAGAATAAATAAAGTTGTGGTGTCAAGAATTGGAACTTAGGAGTTTGGTAGTAAGTTAAGGTTGGAAGTACAAAGATTTTTTTATTGTTTTGTAAAGGTATTGTTTGTTAAAACGAGACAATGTTGCTCATTGCAATAGGGTAGTTTCCTAAATTTTATTTTAATGTCCGTCTGGTACACTAATTTATAACTTTAGACACGTATTTTTTCTTTTCTTACTAAATTAATTACTTTCGAAGATGGATTAATTTGAAATATCGTGTGACGTCACAGCGTGTCACATTTTGTAGCACGTTATGACGTAACGACCTCCCACTCCTAAACTTAGCGCCATTTTATCTAAGTATTGCAACTTAATACGAGAAAATAAAAAAATACGTGTCTAATATTTTTTCATTATCTAACTGACGGACTAATTCGATTTTTAATTTTGAAACGCTGGACTCAACACAATTGAAAAAAAAAATGTGAACCTAGAGATTATGTCAAGTTAGAACAATAAACACTAATAGAAGGAAAATGCATACAACGATGTGAATGTGACTATTATGAGAGTCACTTCTATTGTAAAACATCACGAAAATTTTTCAAATAAAATACATATGAAAGTACAAAGTAAAATAGTGTTTTGTTCCTATAATTTAAGGCCTATTTTTCGACGCAATACTATCAGATACTTATCACTTTAATCGTGACTGATCCCAGCATGCTGATTCCGGTATGAAACTGTGGGTACAATAATAAATGTATGACAAAATATATGATAAGCTTTTGAAACTACGCACATAAGGAGATTATTTCGCCTCCATACATAAGTACTGACGGGTCGGACGAAGTATTATTGGGTTTGTAAAAACCTCAGTAGTAGCACGGAGTCTGGAAATGTACCCGGTATATGGCAAAAGGCTCACCCCCTATTATATGGGACTCATAACATAAATAGTGAAAAGTGGGTGTTATATTGTAAAGTGGCATTAAGTGCCGTAATACGTGCATCTCTGCCTAAACCTTCGGAGATAAAAGGCGTGATCATGTTATGTTATGAAATTTTGGTGGATATTGCTGATACAAATCAATGAAATATTTTCAACTTAGGTAAGTAACAAGGGATGAGTAACTTGCGAACTATGAGTGTTACATTTCAACATGGTGCACGTGATGATGTCGATTTTTGTACTTGTACGGATATACATTTTTTTGGAAAGTAGTTAACCCTTTGAGTACCGCCATTATAGACACAATTAAAGAACAATAGGTTGCGGTCACCGGTGTCCTCGCGGTGTTTGACAGTTAAGGCAATACGCATTTCCTTGGCCCTGTAAATACATTTTGTAATAACAAAACTTGACAAACAGTCGCATAAATACTTATAATTAAAAGTTTGACTGCACGGTTGGTGCGGTGGCTGGGCAACCGGCTGCCGTGCAACGTGTCGCGGGTTCGATTCCCGCACGGAACAACACTTTGTGTGATCCACAAATTGTTGTTTCGGGTCTGGGTGTGTATGTGAACTTGTATGTTTGTAAACGCACCCACGACACAGGAGGAAATCCTAGTGTGGGGCAACGTTTAAAAAAAAAAAATAGAAATGTCTACATACATAGGTAAGTACGTTTGTACGTTAACTATTGAATGAAATGACAGTTTGTCCTCGTATTTTGGACGGAAACTCCACGATAAACATCGACGAAGGTTTTACTTTCAAACTCCATATCAAATTATTTGAAACTACTTGTTTTGTTGTAGTTATGAAATAGTCAAGTTTATGCCTCGTTGGTTTACGGACAGGCTTCATAATTTATGTATCGAATACATTATATCTGCCTCGTTGGCCGAGTGGTCGCAAGTGCGACTGCCGGGCAAGGGGTCTCGGGTTTGATTCCCGGGTTGGGCAAAGTATAACGGGGTTTTTAAAAAAATTCTCAGTTGTAGCACGGAGTCTGGAAATGTGCCCGGTATATGGCAATAGGCTCACCCCCTATTACATGGAACTCATAACACAAATAGTGAAAAGTGGGTGTTACATTGTACAGTGGTATAATGTGCACCACTGCATACCGCTCTGGGGATAAAAGGCGTGATGTTATGTACTCGTACATTATATACATCTATACAGAAATAAATGAAATTGAAGCGTCTGTTTGTAATAATCAAGTAACCGCTTTTTACTACATGTTTATGAATACATACGATACACATACCAATTTATTATTTTTATTTTTTTCTGTCTGTTTGTACTGGCTAATCTCTGGAATAACTTGGACCAATGTTCAAAGACTTTTAGACAGTAACATATACTAGTCTTATTTTGGAAAACTGAATAAAAAAATAAAGGACGTACTGGCAGGCAACAGCTAGATAGAATTTTGTACCTGAATGTCAAAATATTTCTTGCACAACCCCAAAATCGTACCGGTTCTCTTTACGAGCTCTGTCTCGAGCAAGATGAAGGAGGTATAGTTGAAAATCGAGCTCATAGAGTACCTATAGTTTAAGGTGACTGATGTGACTATAGTGAATTTGATATACTAACTACTAATAAAAATACTGGTCTTAAGACCAGTATTAAGGCAAAATCCCCTTATATTTAAAAACTCTTGTAACATCTTAATACAGATAGATGATTCGATAAAATGAAAAATAACGCTAGTGGCTCCGTTCTTTGCTCTCAAGTGTAGCTCTATCTTCTATGTTGAGATGATATATCAAGTGTTCCATTTGTTTAGAAATGAACACTCATAAACCATCTACCCAGGGAAAAACTGAAGACAACAAAAAATTCTTTTGGGCACCCTACCTCACGGTAGCGATGAAGAAAATGTTTTCTTTGGTGCATTATAATATATTTTTATTATTTTTTTTTTAAGGTGTAAATATTTTAGTTTTAAATTATTTATATTTTAAGATGTATAACTTTTTTTTCGTACACAGATTAGATAGACATTTATTGGAATTGGAGTTGCATGATTAGAAGATAATAAATAAAAAGTAAGTAAAAAAAAAACAAAAAATTTCACTAAATTGAATAACTTCGTACTGCTACTGCTAACTATGAGGAATTATCAGTTTTCCTATCTTAGTCACGTACCTATAAACATTATGTAGGTGAGTAGTTAAAGCTCTTCTCAAACTGACGACTTTTTAAGACACGACTACGAAGATAAAATCGGAAAATATCTAAAATTGACATCATAGCTACGTAACATAGGTATGTTTATTACTTTATTACTGAATATGTAAAGATTCTGTTAAAGAAAATTGGCAGAGGCACAGCAGATACCTACATATGTAAAAATGTTCATGCATCAAACGCCTACTGGTTTAATTATAGCAAATCACTTAATTCATTGCCTGGTTAAGGACGCAGGGAGCCGCTGGATGCAATATCAAGTGTTATTGTTTGCTGATCCCAAGTAAAATATATTAAGAATTTCATCTTTCCTTTAGCGTTACCCAAAGCTTACGACACGGACCACAAACCCTCAAAAAATCCATCTAAAAAAATATGCACATGCACAGAGCGTAGAAGCACAGTTCTAAGGGTTTGCACCAGGAATGGCTAGAGACTCCAACATCAGACCTTGGCACCCCCCAGAATTTGTCGCCCTGGGCCATCACCCCCCCCCCGCCGACACCGCTTCCAACCGGCCTATCTGGAAGTCATTGGGGGAAGCCTATGTTCAGCAGTGGACGTCCTGTGGCTGGTATGATGATGATGATGATGACGATTAACTTAAAAAAAGCGAGTCCTTAAGAGAGGGTTACTATACTGAATAACAAAGTAGGTAGGTAGTAGGTACTGTCTTATTTTAAGACATTGGGTTACTTAAAACCAACGAAATTCTGTATTCTGTATAAAGTGTGATGTCATTATAGGACATTGTGTAGTTTGTTACAAATATTAGATCATTACTAGGCATGACATGAATCAAATATGTGAATGACCTAATCGGATGTTTGCTGTAAAAAAGTTAATAATATAATTTCACACAGCGATGCTCTGAGCTATGAGTTAATTTTAATGACTCAGTAAACATTTTCAGTAATTCACTTTAGAGTGCAAAAAAACTTTAAAGCTTTAAATTCATTCATTCATAAATAACTCATCTTTGGGTAACTTGTCTCCATTGCCTTGACAGAGTTTGCAAGAACGGATTTATGATCGTCACTTACAATTTCAATTATACAGTAGGAAATTACTACTTTTTACCCACTAAGTATGGAATATTAGCCTTAGAACAGCGCGAAGTTATGAAATATAAAATTACACGATTTAAAATTATTGCTGTGTGAACGCAACTTTGTCACGAAAATTGTAATTTACGAACGTAACTACATTGTAGGAGACGAAAAATAAGTTTGCCACAGTAAATCATTTTCCATTATTTTGGGCTAAATAAATTCAGAATAACATCAAGGATTCAAAAATACAAGTACTTTTACAGTTTATTAATTAGTATTTAATTGTACTTCAGTAATAGAAATAATACATAATTATTACAAGATCAGTTTTATTTTTAAATTATCTTCTTAGCATGAATATCTTTAAAATAATAACAAATTATGAATGCGTATATTGATACTGTTATATTTAAATTAATATTTTGTTATTTGTCTAGTTGAAAATATTACCTGTAATATGGTTGTTTTAATTAAATAAATGAACAGTTTAAGAATATTTTCCATTTTTTATACAGCTGTTTATACTCAAAAGCTGGTAACATTATTACAACAAACGTCAAATTGCCGCAATGACGCAAGCAGTTGACATGAAAGAAGGGGAAAAATCCTTGACGATCTTTTCTTCAATCTTTCAAAATGGTGTTTCATACTAACGAGTTTCTTTCTAAATTATATCAATTATTACTAAAATGAACTGTAAATTATAAGTGTGACAAGTGAACACCATTATTTGTTGTAAATAAAATTCTTTGTGAAAATTTTTATTCGCGAATCTTGTGTGTGAAAAAAATTCTGATCGGCAAGATCCAAAATCAATTACTACTGTGATGTTTGTGTTCTGACTGTTATTTAGAGTGTATTACGTAAGTATATTGTATATTTTTGTTATTAAACACGTTTAGTGCGGGTTGACAGTGCCAAGTTTCGTATGTGAGCGATTGATATGTTTTTTAAATAGATAATTTTTGTCGTCGAAGACACCCCTTTTTTAGCGGAATTTGGCGGCATAAGTG